GAGGACATTGGGGAGGGGAAATGGGATTTCTTCCTGAAGTCCTTGTGGGTTCCCACTTGTTTTGCTATAATGTCAACGAACAACACCAGTTATAATATGAGGGTTTTTAATTTGGGTTGTACTATTTGCTTAAAATATAAAACCACATTATCTAATAGAAACAATTGTTAACTTTTGAGAGGCCAAAATACATTTTAGCCTGACTAGTTGTTTGTGCAGACTAGATCATAATCCCCAAAGTAATTCATTGTATTTTCCTCCTTTTTAGAAGAGTGCAGATGTGCTGTTTTCCCCATTTCAAAAACCGAAGCAGAAACGGCACAGATGTCGAAACCCCAATAAACTGGATATAAATACATTAACTGGAGAAGAGAGGGTACCTGTTGTAAATAAGCGAAATGGCAAGAAGGTAAAGTTTTGAATAGTGTGCTCTTTGACTCAGTGTAATTTCAAACTAGCACTTAAATTTCAGTAAGGAACTTTATGAACAAACCAGTCTTTCATTATCTCAGTCCTGTTAAGCGTGCAATATCACTTTGAGCACAGTATCTATGTACCCAATTCTCAAGTGTGCCCCCATCTGCGGACATCTAAGTCTACAGATAGGAGGCACACTTACCCAAACAGGCTTTTCTACAAACTTGGGTGACCCCCTAGGTTTGCAGAAAAAAATCTGAAAAGTTAAAAAAACCCACTGGGGGTTTAAATTCTCCCCCCCCCAAAAAAAAAGTGTTATCTGCACATGAGCAAGTAATGCACTTATTGTAGAGTGGCTGGAAAGGGGCCTAGCGGTTGCTGCAGCAACAGAGCCTCAGATCTGCCGGCAGGTGGGGGGAGGGAAGCCTCGGGGAGCCTGCCCAGAGCTGCTCCAGGCAAGCCACCAAGCCATGGGGAGAGGGGGAAGGAAGCCTCAGCAGGCCCACTCAGAGCAGGTCCAGGCAAGCTGCCAAGAGCGGGGAAGGAGAGGAGGCCTCACTTGACTTACCCAAAGCTGTTCCCAGTGAGCCGCAGAGAGTGGTGGGAAGGGAGGGGAGGCAGCAGGCCTGCTTAGAGCAGCTCCAGATGAGCCACCCAGAGTGGAAGGGTAGGAAACCTCCTCACAAACTACCAAGAGTGGGGAGTGGGGAAGGATGCTTTGACTGGCTTACCCAGAGCTACTGTGGGTGAGCCACAGAGAGCAGTGGGGCAGGAGGGAAGGCAGCAGCGCGACAGCAACTGCAGGGGAGTCCGGGAGCCACACCGGGTCCAGTGAGATGGGGTTCTCCCCCCATGAGTCTTGCAGGTCCCACTTGTCATTCTTGATTTTGAACAGCGAAATTTTTCAAGAATATTTGGAAAACCATTTTATTCTTCATAGCAATTATATGGCACTTCCACAATGCTATCTTAAGAACACTTTCTTGGGGGCAAGCCCCACTGACTGGATTTCAGTAGAATTCTGAATAGAGCTACTTAGGATTCTTCTCAGGCTTCTAAACACTTTGTATTACCTTTTCTTATTTGAATCCCAGCAACTGCACTGTAAGGTAGGTCAGTATAATCATCCTCATATTGTAAATGTAGGCCTGTAACTTGGAAGAAAGTCATTTATTTAATGAGTTAATGGCAGAAGCAAGAGCTTAAATGGAGACTGACTGGATTGCAGCTCATTCTGGTAACCACAACATCAGCTCATGCTTCCCTGTCCGGTGATGCTTTAGTTGAACTTGGCAAACACTCTTAGTATTCTGTACAAATTTTAACAAAGTACCCTGTACTTTTAAAAAAGTGTATATCAAATATGTGATAGCATGCTTAATTTCTTTTCCTAAAAAATTAATTAGATGGGTGGAGCTATGGCCCCTCCAATGAAGGACCTGCCTAGATGGCTGGAAGAAAATCCAGAATTTGCTGTTGCTCCAGATTGGACTGACATAGTTAAACAATCTGTAAGTCGTTTTATTTCTAAGGCTTTTTTCCCATTGTAAGGAATGTGAATTTATCTTCTTAAATTCTTTAAAAACTTACTGATTATATAACTGTACGCTGTGTATTTCTATAAAGCAATGAAATGTTTATTGTAGTGACATGAATAACCCAGACAAAGAATGTTGAGACTGTTGGTACATAGCAGAATTTTGTAATATTCTCTATTAGTGGATTCCTCTCCTGGAAAAAAATATGCATAATTGTTAAATGCAAAACTGGTTGTCAGTTGATTTTTGGGTTAAATCTTTTCATACCTATAAGAGACCGTTGTTCTTGAAATAAATGTTTTTAGATGTCTATCCTCTTCCTTTTTATTATTATTATTATTATTATTACTACAAACACATTTCCAAATCAAATGTGTGCTATTTTATATAAATTCTCTGATGAATTTTCTCCTTAGAACTTTTTTTCTTCTGACATCACCTGCTGCTTCCGTGTAGTGGGAGGTGCAGCTCAACACGTGATATCAATGATCACTCACAGATTTAAATGACATGGATAATGTCATAGGATAAGCTTAATGGAACACTCTTCTGGGACACGCTTATATTTTCTGTTCTTTTCTAACGGGAAAGAAACTAAAATATGTGAATACAAACTTTGCTATAATGCCCTGTGTTTTCCCCATCCTTGGTATTACATGTTATGCTGTGTTTTGTGAGCAGCCCTGCATGAGACACTGAGTCTACAGGCATCGGCACATTACTCAAAGCTTAATGGCATGGACTTTGTTTTCTTCCTGAATGCAGGGTTTTGTTCCAGAGTCCATGTTTGACCGTCTTCTCACAGGACCTGTTGTGCGGGAGGAGGGAGCAAGCAGAAGAGGGAGAAGGCCAAAAAGCGAAATTGCCAAAGCAGCTGCAGCAGCTGCTGCTGTAGCTTCAACTTCGGGAATTAACCCACTGCTAATGAACAGTCTGTTCGCTGGAATGGATCTCACGAGCCTTCAGAATTTACAGAACCTACAGTCTCTCCAGCTTGCAGGTCTCATGGGCTTTCCTCCAGGACTAGCGACAGCTGCTGCTGCTGCTGGAGGTGATTCTAAAAATCCAGCTGCCATGCTGCCTCTGATGTTGCCAGGTATGGCAGGGTTGCCTAACATGTTTGGACTAAGTGGATTGTTGAATAACCCAATAACAGCTGCTTCTGGAAACACCACTATGGCTTCCAGTCAAGGAGACACTGAAGATGGCACTTCAAAAGTAGAAGAGAAGACGACTGAGAATGAAGAGGAGAACAAAGACTCTGAGAAAAGCACAGACACTGTTTCTGCCACTGACTCTGCAAATGGATCTGTCAGTGCAACTGCTGCTGCGGCTGCTGCCACTACCACGACCAACACTGGATTGCCTGCCAACCCTCTGACCTTCAATCCTTTCCTTCTGTCCACCATGGCTCCTGGCCTATTCTATCCATCTATGTTTCTACCTCCAGGACTGGGAGGATTGACACTACCTGGTTTCCCAGCATTAGCAGGACTTCAGAATTCAGTGGGCTCCAGTGAAGTGAAGGTTACTGATAAAACTGAAGGAGCTGCCTTTAAAGAGGAAGAAACTCTAGAAGGCAGTGATGCAGAGGAGAGCCTTGATAAAACTGCAAATTCCTCCGCTCTAGAAGATGAAATAGCACAGGGTGAAGAATTAGACTCACTTGATGGGGGGGAAGAAATAGAAAACAATGAAAATGATGAGTAAGCAGTACCAGTTACTGTTAAAGTGTTTTAAATTTTGACAAGTGGTAGTCCTACTGTTTACACTCACAGTTAATGTCCATAATTAGGTTTTATAAGCTGTTCTGTAACATAGTGTAGCAAAAGAAACGTTCAAGTCATGTTATACAGATGTGTCAAAAGGTATCTTGGTCATTAAGTATTGTGCAGTGCATTATTTATTATCCCTAGGAGAGATGAAATTGAGAGGTGATCATGTCTTTTTAAGGAAATTGACATAATGCTCTGCTTTTTTTCCTTTTGGTACCATTGGTATTATAAAAGCAGCAATTTGTAATAGAGTGGCACTAAATAGAAGGAAGTGCTGCTTAAAGGAAGTATGAAGTTATATATTTAATTTTTTATTTTTATTCTTTGCTGTGAAGGTCAAGATGAAATTTACCATACATATCATACTTGCGCATCATTGTGACTATATGGGAGTTCAGTCGTGCACATACACACAAACACACACACACACATTCTCTGACAATCTCCATGATAGTGTGAATGTCTCTCTGTCTTGAGACACAGCAATAATAAGGCAGCTGTTGAATGTGAAGAGTACCTTTTGGAAATTTCCCACTGAAAAGGTTCTTGCAGGATAAAAACTACAGTTAAATCGTCTCGTGATCTTGTAATGCACTGGTAAAACAATTTTTTTAAAAATCAGGTACCTTTTTTAAATTAAAGGACTTTGTTACTTTAGCCACAAAGCTAAACAGCATTACCTCAACTCTAAACTAGCCTTGAAGTTTACAGACATGACTTTGTAAATGTATTTGTTTTTCTTTGTTGTGATGTCTTTTTATTTTTATTTTCCCTTGGAAACTGCTATCATGTAAGATAAGATGTAAATTGCTGCCAACTGTAGTAATGATGCTTTTAATAAAAGTGACTCATGATATGCAGAGATGTAATTTATAGAATGTAGTGCTTAGAGAAATTACAACTGGTGTTTGTTATTTTTTGTATTCACAATAGAAGCAAATACATCCTTGTGGGTTTTTTATTTTTTTGGTTCCATTTTTTTTCTCTTTTGTATATCATTTCTTGCCAGCTTTGCTATTCAGAAATATACTGAATTGGTAGTGTATGAGAAGTAGACAAGAAGAAAAATCCTGAATTATTCTTGTATTATTCCATTTTAGCTAAAGCTAGAGAAAGACACACAAAACCCTGCATTACTCTCTCAAAGGGGCTTGTAAGACTAGGAATACTTTCCAATGTGTTCAGCATGTGATAATGTGGTACATTAAAGAACAAAAGGGTAGAAGAGAAATGAGGCTTTGATAGGCACAATATCTAGGTCATTTATCCTTGGTTAATGGGTAGAAAAACACAATGCTGTAGTTTGAGCAGGGACATAAAGGCTCTGTGGTATCCTGTGGACCAGAGCCTGTGATGCCAGAAACTACTGTCAGGCAGCCTACAGGAAACTAAAACTGACCCACTTTTTAGAAGACTTAAGCTGCTTCTGGGGAGCCTCTGATTTGGACCTTTTTGTGACCTTTGATAATGTATCATCTGAGAGTTATTGTTTTCACTGCACTGTCACCAGAATGAGCACACAGCAACTCTGACACAAAGTTAAAGGGTTCGGCACTTCACTGTGGAAGGTGAAAAGCTAGATCTGTCAGGTGCACAATTCCTGTTAATATACTCCAGAGAGCCCCAGAAATTGATAAGTACAGATCTATTTTTACAATTATGAACAAGCTGTAAGCTTATTTAGTGGATGTGGAGCACCCAGTAGTATGAATTTAAAGTGGCCATTCTAAAAACATGGTTCAATTAGAGTCACATGTTTATGAGAGAGTGCAGTATGTGGGAGAAAAGAAGAGTTCCCATGAACAATGAGAACAAAAAGTAACAAACAGCTGCAAAGTGAATATTGTTATGAATGAAAAATGCATTGTTTGAATTAGTGAAGATCAAAATGTCTTGTTACCTCCATTTTAACAGATCATAGAAAGCTAATAGAGGTCAGGAAAGATTTCTTTTCTTTATACACATTATTGCATAGTTGACTGAATGCATTATTCTCTTCTGTCAAGCCTCACATATGTTGCCTATCATAAAAATCTAGAAACCAACTTGGAGGGGTCATCAATCTGATCAAGAGTGGCATATCCTGTGTATGCATTCATATTATCAGCTTGTTAAATTTTTCGCTTTCTAATGACTCATTTTCAACTGACTATGGAATTTATTGTAAAAGTACCACTGTGAAAGAGTCTTTGTCTCTAGTCTTAGAAAAGCATTCATTTTTATACTGGCAGTAAGGAACTTAATGAAGGTTAATGATATCTCTGGGGAAGGAGTTTTAATTGTCAAGAGCAAAGGCAATTAAAAACAAATACACATGCACACGCACCACCAATCCCTAGCATCATTTATTTCCAATTGCTCCGTGTCCATTTCACAACAGTGTGAGTCCTCTTAAATACTGACCAAGTAACGTATAAATAACATTTTTGCTGCACCAAAAACACTGTCTTTTGGAAATTTATACACAATAGATTGGAATAAGTCACTTTGATAGGAAAGGTAGGTTGCAAGCATGAAGCTTACTTTCATTGGTGGCATAATCCTTCCCTGTGTAAGTGCATGGCAAGCATGCACAGAAGAATTCCCACAGGGCCCAATAGAGTTGTGCACATGGACAGAGGAGTGCACAGGAAAAGTCCAGGGAATGGTGCATGTGCTTCCTAGGTTGCCATCTTGCTCTTACTGGATCCCATGTTGCTTGCATAGAATGGAAGTAAGGGTGGTAGGAGGCAAATTGAGTACCTTTCCCTTTACTGCTTTGGTGCCATCATACACGCATGGACAGGGCTCTCTTGAGACCTGTGGGGTCTTCCCACATGTGAACAAGTATTTCTTAAATATTATTAAAATAGTACTACAGGGAAAAGGAATGTGCGTATGATGAAAAGAAAGAGAAATTAAATGGAGTGTGGCAGGTGGGACGTTGCCATTTTTATTTTAAAAAATAGTTTCTTAGGATTGGATCCAAAGGTTCCATTCTGCCAACAAGCTGAGCCTTCCTCAGACTCAAGGACCCTTGCTGCAATAGAAGTGTTGTATTTACAGGTGGAAGACTCCAGCCTTCAGTGGTACAGAACGTCTGTGTCCATTCCTCGATGTCAGCATACCGCTTGAAGTTTACCCCGTGACACATAGAATTTAGACAGAGATAATACCTAAATAAAATTATGGTTGCTATTATATACTTGATGCAAAGTTCTGTATTTTAAAAATTCATCTGATATGCAATACTATTTAAGTGGCTTTGGTACAAAACTGCATGGAATATTTTGTGGCTTTACAGATTAATACCAGGTTCTCTCTTGCTTTCATGCAGTAGTACCACTGAGTACTTAAAATATGGCTTTTCTTCCCAATGCTAGATGGAAAAGTGCTATTTCTATTAAGGACTTGCAAATACTGATCCCACTTCTGTGCTATCTTAATGTAAAAAAAATCATTGGGATCCTACATTTGCCAAAAAACAAACAAACCCATGCAACACTAACTTGTTTGTTAGTTTGTTTATTAAATTCAGCTTGCTAGACTGCCCTTCCCTGCAAGCAGGGCTCAAGATGGCTTACATCAAATAAACATAGTGATACTCCATTAAATAAAACTACTAAAACAATATGCTTCAAACAATACAACTTCATTTCCACATCCAGTTTGGTTCAGAAAGTGTGACCTGACTCTCTCTGGGAAAGCACAGGGTGCTACCAAAAGATGTCTATTGTCTCTGTGCCATCTCCCATGACCCTTCAAATCTATGTTTCAACAGAGCAAAGATACAATTGTTGACCAGCCTGCTCCGTCCCCTTTAACAAGTGCTAAATAGATAACAGCCCAGTCATATGTGCATGCTTATTTAAATGCAAGGCCCGCTGAGAGTGGGTGGTACTTCACACTTAAAATCACAATCCTTTCTTGCTGCTTCAGCTTTCCCTTGTTGACAGCTGAGGCCAGTGGGGTACCTGCATCCTGTGTTTGTGAGAGCTTGATATTCTTCTGATTTGTCCTAGAAGCAATCTGGCATAGATTACCAAGTCTGGCTGCAGAGTGAGCGTCACCTTGTTGATTAAATATTTAACAATTAGAGAGGTTCGCTGTGGGGGGTGGAAAGGTCCTTGCTTTAAAATGAATCTTGCACTGGGCTTGTGCACAAACAGCTCGCTCAGCTTTATTGACTCAGCGATGCATTTGTGTTAGTGGCTGCTGGAGCTGTACACCAATTTACAGTGTGACCTTCAATAAAATGGCATTATTCTTAAAGGCTGCCTGGAGAGCCATGACAGATTACATCAGCCTAATTCATTTCCAGTTATGCGCAGCCCCACTCTCAGGCAAGAGGCAGAATCACCAGCAACTCCGGCATGTTCAGTGGCAGAATCCCACCCCTGGAACATCAGGTGTGACACCACTGATCTCTTGATCATCCCTGCAACATCTCACTTTCACATTGGTGGACAAGAATACTATTTGCAAGTGTGCAAGATCTACCAGGAAATTACATTTATTACAGAGTGGAGCTCTTGAAATACAAGCTGCTTTGGGTCCTCACTGGGGGAAAGGGTGGGATATAAATAAATGAGCTCATTGTTGCAGCTGTCTCGTCCTTTAAATATTAAGTTTCTAGTCCAGACTCAAGTTATGTATACGTTTTATGTTTTCCCTCTACCTTGTAGAGTAGCAACATAGATGATCCACCTGTATTTGTCTCCCCCCCCTTTTTTTTTGGGGGGGGGTGCCTGGTTACACTTCCATTTAAAAGCATAGTTCACAAATTGCATTGGTGCCATTTTCCTGTTGAGGATTTTTCTTTCCACTTACCAAAACTGATTAGTGTGATTACAGGGTTTATTTTCCTCAAGCTATTGTCAATCAAATGGTCCCTCAGTTTCTTTTGATGAGCCTTTGCTGCTATCTTGGTGCCAATGTTGTTACTGTTTTCATGTC